CTGTGTGTGTGTACGTGTGTGTCTGTGTGTGTGTCTGTGTGTGTGTGTGTGTGTGTGTGTGTGGTGGGAGATGTGGGTACTGGAGAGATGGCTCAGGGGTTAAGAGCACTGGCTGCTCCATGAGAGGACTCATGGTCAGTTCCCAGCACCCACATGGCAGCTAAGATCACTTGTAACTCCAGTTACAGGGGTCTCACGCCCTCTTCTGACCTCCAAGGGCACTGCACACACACAGTGCACATACATACATGCAGGCTAACACTCATACACATAACTCTTTTTTGTTTTACTTATTTTTTTAAAATATATTTATCTGGCCAGGTGGTGGTGGCTCACACCTTTAATCCCAGCACTCGGGAGGCAGAGGCAGGAGGATCTCTGTGAGTTCGAGGCCAGTTTGGGCTACAGAGTGAGTCCCAGGACAGGATCCAAAACTACACAGAGAAACCCTGTCCCAAAAAAACAACAACAAAAAAATTGTTTTATTATCTATTATATATGATGTGTCTGTGTGTGTGTGTCTGTGTGTGTCTCTCTGTGTGTGTATGTCTGTGTGTGTGTGTCTGTGTCTGTGTGTCTGTATGTCTGTGTGTGTGTGTGTGTGTGTGTGTGTGTGTGTGCATGTTGTTTTGCCGGTGCATTTGTTTGTGCACTGCTTGCATGGTGCCCCTGGAGGCCAGCAGAGGGAATTAGACCCCCTGGAACTGGAGTTATAGATGGTTGTCAGGACTATATGGGTGCTGGGGACTGATCCAGGGCTTCACGGATGCTTGGCAAGCACTGTACTAACTGAACTACACCCCCAGTCCCATAAATCTTTTTAAAGGCTATGAATTTAAGCATGGTGTGCTGGCACATGCCTTTAATCTTGATATTTGGGAGACTGAGGCAAGAAAATCACCTTTTTGAGGCTAGGCTGGGCTACACAGAAATCTCCAGGTCAACCCCAACTACATAGTAAGACCGTCTTAAAAAAAACAAAAACAGCTTTCGAAGGATCGTTTTCGCGTCTGTGGATGTGACGCCCCAGGAGTGATAGCTAATGTTTTCCTTCGCGGTTTATTGTTGAACCAATTAATTCAGTGAACCTTAAAAAAACAAAACAAACAAAAAAAAAAAAAAACAAAAACAAAGCTGAACACTGTCAAGCTCCTAAGTGCTCAGTAAGCAATGTATTACGACATAATCCAATACTATTCTTAGATGGAGACAGTGGGTAGCAGGCATCAGATGGGCATGGGTGTTAGGGCAGAATAAAATGATCAGAAAAGGTATGTGAGGTCTGAAGCAGTGCAGGTGCTCTCGAGGGAGCCGAATGGACGGAAGGCACACCGCGGTGAAGAACCGGCCATCGGGCCGGCGTCGCCTCGCAGTACTCAGAAGCCGAGCAGCAGAAAGGAGGAGGAGGAGGATAAGATGTGAGCCAGTGGGGGTGGGATCCACTTAGCATGGAAGGGAGGCTAGGAGGTGAAGCCACAGTGGCTGTCGATTAGCACAGGACCAAGTCCGGCCACCCGCTGGGCCCGGGGGCGGGGACGGCACCGGGACGGCCAGGACCAGGCGCTTAAACCGCGGCGTGAGGGTGGCGCCTGGCGGCGGGGCGGAACCCAACGCAGCGTGACCGCGATCGCGCCCGTGCAGACCCCGGAGGGAGGGCGGGGGCCGGCCCGGCACCGCGCTGGGAATGGCCTGGGGGTGCGGAGGGGGAGGATGGCGGTCTCGGGCTCGAGAGCTGACAGGACCCGACTTCCCTCCTGTCCCCGGGAGCGGGGATGAGGGGCTGGGGTGGGGAAGGGAAGGGACCGGTGGGCGCAGGACTCGCTTCTCACCTCTCCCCGCCCGGCTCGCCCCTCACCGGCATCCAGCAGCGGGTCCCACAGCTCGGCCCGCCTCCTCCACAACTCCTTTCCGGGTCACACGCCGGGCACACGCACAGGCCCGGCGGCTACGGGTCCCACCGTGGCCCACTACGAGCGTGGCAAAACGGCGCGGGAGTGGAGCATGCGTACTAGCCGGGGAGCCCGCAGCCGGCGTGCTTTCCAGCTAGCCAGGTGTGACGCGCCCTGCTTTCACCGGGTCCCTCTCCCTCACCCACCCATCGCAGCACCTGCCCTGCATTAGTTAAGCCACGCTCCCACCACCCTGTGACTTTCCGGTGTCTTTTTTTGTGGTCTTAAGTTTCCAACACTCCCCAAACCCTGAGGTATTTTAAGTTAGTTCTTCCACTTTGTTTTTTAGGTAAAACCATTGAACTGCCCTGAGCTGCTGGCAAAACCATGCAGCATAGTGAGAAAGTCCCTCGCCTAGATTTCTTCAATCATGCAGGATTCAATAGTCCAAAGGACCCTGCTTCCAGGGGCAGAGTTTAGGGGATTTTGTATTCACTCCTCCCTCCCTATGCTGAAAAAATCCCAAAGACACAGCCAAAGACCCCAGTCTGTGCACAAAAATGATACATTTATTGAAAGAGTAATTTTTTTTAATACAAAAGAAAGCTCTGTACATAGGATGTGACCATGTCCACTGTTCCTGGGTCAACATCCCAGGAGAAGTAGAAACCACTGATATACCCACATACACCCCACATTCACACAAGCATTCACTCAAACACAAGCGCACACACACCCCAGAGCCACTTAGGAAGGGAAACACCAAGGGTCGCTGCACATAGAAATGCCACCTCAGTCCTGACACGCAGACTCTCCCAAGGCCACAGTCACACAGCACACATCATAAGCACTTTGCCTGATCCACTCACTGGATCTGTCTTTTGTGAGGAGGAATCAACATCGCCTCCCATGTGGTGGGGGAGAGGTGAGTGAGTGGTAGAGGAGTGAACCAAGGAGAGAAAGGCAGGCGCTGGGCAGTTACAGACCTGAGTCCCAAGCTCCCCGCTCTGGCCCCTGGTTTACCATGCCCCGGTCTTCAAAGCTCCCCAAGCCCAGCTATTTCCAGGAGAAAGCCCAGAGCGGTGGCCTCCCCAGCTGGGTGAGACAGCAGTGGGGATCAGAGGTGGGGGGTTCTCAAACATGTCAACAGATCCTCCCGTGATACCTAGGTGTGCACAAGACCCTGCCCACCTTCACCTAACCTCAGAAGCAGGCCCGTGCCTACCGAGGGCAGCAGCAAGGGGTCTGAGCGCGACACTCCACCCCGACCGCCCTCCTGGAAAAGCTCCCTTACTGAACACAGGTGGTTTAGGCTGGCTCTGACACGGGGTACAATACCCTCCCCCTATGCTAGCCCACCCTCAGGGTCCCCAAGCGGGTTCTAAGGGGGTGGGGCATGGCCCTGTACAAATTACATAAATACTGAGGTTACACTTAGAAAAATAAAGTCATTTTCTTCAAGGCTTTTTGTCTTAATTTAAAAAAGTTACAGTAGCTGCTTGCTCCCTGGGAGAGCTGCCCATTTCTGGCTCTCCATCGCTGCGCTCAGCCCAAGAGCTGCTCCTATATGACCCCCATTCCTGTGTCTCCCCACCCCCCAGACCCCCTCCTGCTCACTGCAGCCTGGGCCCCAGGGAGCTGTAAGCCTGGGGGGGGGGCGGGGCACAAGGCTGCAATGCTGTGCTGTGGCACAAATGAAATCCGTCTCCTCTATCTGGCCCCCTCCGGCCCTAGCCCACATTTGGTCTCCCTCTTCCCAGCCACAACCCCAGAGGGTAAAAGAGGCCTCGAGCTGTGGGTCACCCTCCCTCCCCTTCTGCGGCCTGAGGGGCCCTTCCCCAGCTTTCTCCTGGAAAGAACCCAGGACGGGGGGCAAACCCAGAATCTCCTGCATGCACACTGGTGGACCCCGAGCTCATGGGGGGGGGGCTGTCCCCAGAGGCCCAGCCAGTTCTAGAGAGCCTAAGGGCTCCCCAGAAAAGGGGAGTTTGGGCAGGGAGGGGGATGAGAAAAACGCCATTAAAAAAAAGTTAAATATTTTAAAAATATATATTTATAGATTTGTTTTCACTTCATCTCCTCAAATAAAAAGTTCAAAATCAACTTTTAAGTAAAGCAGCTGGGAGAAGGGGGAAGACAGAGGAAGAGAGGCCGCCAGAGGCTCCCTCCGCCCCGAGAGCCCCTGCAGGTCCGTGGGGACAGAGCGGCAAGGCAGAGCAGGCGCCCCGTGACCTGCCCTGTGCACAGGCCCAGCTATCCAGGAGCTGAAGGGGGCAGAGGGGGGCGGTAGGAGGGAAGAACCCCCTCTCTCCCAGCTGGCTCCCTGAGGGCAGGGGCAGGGAGGGCTCTTTTGACCCAGACTGTGGCGGCACAGAACTAACCAGAGGTCACCAGACAGGCTGGAGAGAGGGCCCCAAATGCTTCCTCAGAGGGGGCACTGTGCCCAGCCCCACAGAAGGCCTGTGAGTGGGAAGGTGGGCACAGTCCCACCGGGTGAGCGAATACTCAGAGCAAACGTTGAGCCAAGCTGGCAGGGGTCTGAGGGGGAGGACAGCCCCACCATGCCCAGCGAGACCGGTGGGGTAGGAGGGAGGGGGTGAGGGAGGGCAGGGGGAGGGCAGGCAGGCCCATTTCTTTGGCTGGAGTGAGAGGGCACAGTCCTGTGGCTGCCCTCTCCTTCTCCTGCCTCCCTCCTCCGGCCAGTCAATGTGTGTGTAAAGAAAACGTGAAAAGGCAACAATAAATAAGTGGTGCCGTCCCTTGGCCGTCTGTCCAGGGCGGCGGGCGGATCATTCACTCTTGGTGCTGTGGGTGGCGTCCAAGTTCACCACCTGGAGCTCGGTGAGGTTGCTGCTGCTCCCAGCTTGCTGCCCTATCACAGCCATCTGTAGGGAAGGAGGAGAATGAGGATGGCCCGTCGGAGGAAGGACAAGCAGGCTCGGGCGCCCCCTGCTGGCCTGCCGGTCCAATGCAGGCCTGAGCAGAAACAGATGGGCCCCCGGCTAGGGAAGACTGGGTGGGACAGGGCGGGAGGGGGTGGGGGGCCCACCTGCCCCATTTACCTGGTGAAGCTGAACTGCAGAAACAGGGATCTGCACGGTCCCAGAGGATGCTGTCAGGAACACCTGAGGGACACCACCTGCATCGGAAAGCAGGGGAGATGCTCATTCACTTGCTCAGGAGGAGCTCTAGATATCGGAGACGTGATATACACAAGTGACTGGGGAGCCTCAAACACGTAGCCAAGGATGTGTGCCCCAAAGTGTCTCATGCAATGCACGAGGGTGCCTGTAGTGTGAAAGTGTAAGTGTGTGTGAGTGTCCAAATGAACAAATACAGTTGTCCAGTGAGTGTGAGAATATCCAAGTCTGTATTTGTGCAGGAATATATGTGGGCATTGGGGGAGGGAATCAACAGGAGGAGAATGCATCTCAGTGTTGGAGCTGGGGCACATCTGAGTGCCTGTGAAAGGGAGAAATAAATGGTCCTTCTTTCTCCGGCCCTGGTCCTTCCCTCACCTTGCTCCTGGACCTGGCTGTGGGACACCTGCATGGTGGACGGTGCCTGGGAGAAGGCATTGAGCACGGTGAGGCTGCCATCAGCCAGGCCCGAGGTGGGGGCATACATCACTGCATGGGGACTAGGGTACATCATGTGGCCACCCACAGTTGTGGGTATAGACGACGTCATGATGGTGGCGGGCAACGTCACTGGAAAACACAGATACACATCAGGGAGCTGATCCCTCCTGCTAACTCTCATCCTGCCCCAGGATTCCAACCTCTAGGATCTTTGTACCATGTTCTGGGTCACAGGTTTGACAAAAGATTGTTTCTTTGTTCCTTACCATCAACTGAAAAGCCTAGCGTTTTCCTCTGAGCGGACTGTCTATGCATCCAATCCCGTCCCCAGACCCTAGCATCACAATGATGGGCCCTCTCCCAGGAAACACCATCACTCACTCTTCATTTTCACCTGTTCCTTCCTCTCTCTCCAGCTTCCTAAACTTACACCTAATCAGCTCATCCTTGAGACAAGCACTTCTCCAATGTTAACAGAGGAACCTTGTTAAAGTGCAAATTCTGAGTCACTGGGTTTGAGGTGACGCTGGAGATTCTGAAAACTCCAAGTCCTCGGTTCCTTCAGCCCCTAGACCACACTGTAATGAGTAAGGCTGGGTTGGCAGCAGCTTACATATGAGAGTTCGCTGTAATTCCTGAAATGACCAAAGGTAGCTGAGAGGAATTAGAGCCTGCTACTCAAGACCTGTAACACCCTCCCACCCGGTGACAGATGCGCTGACTGCTCCTTCCTTGCTACTGAACAAACCATTTCCCAGTGGTTTCTTATGTCTCCCTTGACTCTACAGCCTCACTGCAGAGCAGGGTTCAAACCCCAGCCACGCTCACCAGCTTTCCTATAAACATGAAACCAAAAGCCCCAGTTTCTGCTTGAGTAAATTCCCCAGGGTCCTCGGTACAGGAGCCACACTGCTAAGCACCTTCTGCCAGGCTTCCTGTGGGAAGGCAAGGCGTGGGGGGTGACAAGGAGTCATACCTGTCCCGCTGGAGGAGGTCTGCGTGAGGTCTGTGCTGCTGTCACGAGAGGGAGACGCTTGCTGTGGGGCCTGGTGCACCTGGATGGCCTGCACAGGGACCTGCTGGGCCACCGCCCCACCTACAAGACACGGCGTGTTACGTGGGCTCCATCCCACGCAGTCTGTCAGCTTCACCAAACACGCTGGAGGATACAGTCCCGGGTCCGATACTCTGGTTCCCAACCCTTATCACTTTCCCCTGGGACCTGAAGAGGTCCTTCATGTCCGAATGAAGTGACTCCCTCTTTCTTCTGCCTCAGGCTCTGCTTTCATCTTCTTCAGCTGACCCGGAGCTGTCCTTAACCCATCAACATAACCTACCCTCCAGTCACAACAGAGAAGTGACAGAACACCAACCATCTCCATAGCAACGGAGGTTCAAGGGCGAACTAGCCAGACAAGACCAGAATGGAGCGTTGAGACTTAC